CAGCTATCGGACTACACTGTTCAATATGGTACAGACTAGCCACACGTGTCTATGCAGTCAGTCCAAATTGAGATATGCTGAGTTATAGACTGAATTGTGTCCTCTCCCCAAATTCATACGTTGAAACCCTAACCCTCAATGTGACTGTATTTGGAGTCAGGGCTTTTAGGAGGTAATTAAGGTTAAATAAGGTCATACGGGTAGGACCCTAATCCATGTGAGCCATATGAACTTGCCGTGAGAAGGTGCTTTTTACAAACCAGGAAGAGAGCCTTTACCAGAACCCCGTCATGCCAGCACCGTGATCTATGACTTCCAGCATCCAGAGCTGTGAGAAGATAAACTTCTGTTGCTTCAGCCACCCAGTCTATACAGTACTTTGTTATGGCAGCCTGAGCCGAGGAAGACAGACTATGAGAGTGAAGCAAACACCTGAAGGGACATCAGTAGGAATGGCCAGGTAAGAGGCTCCAGAAATCTGCTCTTCCACAAAAGCAACAAAAACACAGGCAGAAATCATCAAATTCAACTTTTTCAGAACTCTGCAAATTAACTAAAGGCTTGCAACAATCCAAGCAGGATTTATTCAAGAAAAACAGCAGAAGCCCAGTAAGAATTAATGATGTGAGTTTTCTTGGCATTCCAAATTGATCCCCAGCACCATAAAAGCTTCTTGTTCCCATGCTCCATTAGTAGAGAGAGTGGGAACTGCTCCACCGTGGGTAGCCACTATTCTGACTTCTAACACCACAGCGGCTCTGCCTGCTTGGGGATGTCATGCAACTGGCATCACATGGCATGCAGTCTTTTACACCTGCTCTCTTCCGATCAACGTGATGGGTGTGAGATTCATCCATATTGTGTATATTGATAGTTTGTTCTTTTTCATTCTATGTAGTATTGCATTGAGTTAATGGAATATATTGAAACATATTTACTCATTCCCAAAAGGTGGTCTTACTAATAAGCTATCTAACAGAGGAAAATAAACTGTCAAACAGAAAGAGAAATAAACTCACAATACAACTAGCCTTTTTTTAATTAAAACACGCATGGCCTAACTTGTTATCTCTGAGTTCTTTCTCAGCCTTGAAAAAGATCCTGAGCAGAGAGTAGGACTGCAAGCTTCCCTTGCTTCCTTGAGAAGAGACGGTATCAGGTACTTCCCGCTATCAAGAAGAAAGAAGAAACTAATTTCTGCTATCAATCTGCTTTGTAAGAAACAAAAAAGCCAACACAGCAGCTTCACAGCTGCTTTTGTTATCAGTCCCCTGAAGCAGAGGAAAAAACAAAAGCCATTCCTACCCTTTAGAAGCACCAAGCCACTTTCCTCCAGGCCTGACATTTCCTTCCTCTGTATTGTGGCCTCTCTCACTCTCTCTCTCTCTCTATATATATATACACATATATTTTTTTTTCTTTCTTTCTCTTTCTTCCTTCCTTCCCTCTTTTTCTTTCTTCCTTCCCTCCCTCCCTTCCTTCCTTTCTTTTCCTTCCTTCCTTCCTTTCTTTCTCAAGAAAAATAAACTTTTACTTCTGTATATCCTAATCACTGAGAATTTTCTCCCCCTGCACACAGAATTCACACCCTAACAATTCTATTGATGGATATGGGTTATTTCACTTTTTAACTAATATTTCAAATAATGCTATTTTGAGCATTCTTGTATATGTCTTTC